TAGAATAGAATAGAATAGAATAGAATAGAATAGAATAGAATAGAATATGGGAGGGAATAAAATAGAAGAGGAGAGAAGAAGAGAAAGAATAGAACAGAACAGAACAGAACAGAAATAGGAATAGAATAGAATAGAATAGAATAGAATAGAATAGAATAGAATAGAATAGAATAGAATTTCATGCATCTTGAATCAGATCTTGCCTTGCATTTGCTGCTATCATTTCAAACTTACTAAGTTAGAGAAGAGTACTTTTACTAATTCTCTAATTCAGTGGAGTTGGGGCTTTTCTTTCTTGAGTTTTGATCGGAGGAAGGCCTGACAGGCTGGCAGCTGACCATGCTGTCTCATAATCTTAGCATGCTGGCTAGGGAATTCTGGGAGTTGAAGTCTACACAGCTTCAGTTACCAAGTTATTGAAGGTGAGAAACATTGCTGTAACCTGATAAACATGCATAGACCTCTATAACCAGAATAATTGCGGTCTACTGTCACACCATGGTTCACCTTGGTTTATGGCTGATTGAGCACACACAAGTGGTTGACGCTCCATGAAATCCTAAACCCAAACCAAGCGAGAGGCATGTATTGCAAATGCAGCGATGGCCTGTTACCGGTTTGCACCGGTTCGGGCGAACTGGATGTTAATTTTACAGTTGAAGTGGTCATTGCAACAATTGGCTGGCCTCACCCCGCCCATCCCACCCCTCCTAGGAGTCTCCACACGGCCCATTTTGGATCCCATATAAGTGCAGGGCCCACACAGAGGCTCAGGGAGGGCAAGAAAAGGGCCTCCAGAGAGCCTCTGGAGCCCAGGGAGGGTGAAAAATGGGCCTCCAGAAGTTGCGTAAAGCTGGAAATGGGCCCGTTTCTGGCCTCCAGAGGGACCAAGGTAAGCCTTCGGAGCCTGGGGAGGGTGAAAACACCCCCTCCCCACTGTGGCGCAGGAGGCTGATTAAGCCACACCCACCATGGCCACGCCCACCCAGCAACCAAGGCGAGAATCGGTTGCTAAACTTTTTGAAGCCCGCCCTGACAAAGTGGTGAATTAGATTCTCTTAGCGCTCCACGCAAATATTGACTTGAGATTTTGTGATCAAGACTGATCCCCAGAAAACTGGCTTTTTAAAGCACTTTGTGATTTTCCTAACTATCATTCCTGATCTTGCAGAGTGGGAGAAGGAAGAGCGTGCTGGAGTTTGGAGAATGCTTATGTTTCACTTGGGAAGTATGAACAAGCCTTACACTTTGCAGAAAAACATCTTGAAATCTCCCAAGAGGTACTCTCTCTCCCTCTCCCTCCCCCTCTCTCTCCCTTTGTGTGTGTGTGTGTGTGTGTGTGTGTGTGTGTGTGTGTAAATACTACAAAATCTCCCTACGTAGCAATTGGAATATTTTTGTTGCATGTCAAAAAGACATTTTTTTAACAGACTGAAAGAAAATCAAATCATGGTATACTATTTTGCACGATGTTGCTTGGTGACCAAAACAGGAAACTGGTTTCTAAAAGAGACTTGAATTGAAAAGAGCTCTGGATAAACAAAGAAGGAAGTCAGATGTGACCGCAGACTTCATAAACTAGAGAAGTGGAATTAGGGAGTGCTGGGAGATGCAAGAACGGGGCTGGGGGTTGCTGATAAAAGCTTTCAAAAAGGGACAGTGATAGTACTAAGTAAACATTGATTAGCATTTATCCCAATACCAAAGAAAGGTGATACTAAAGACTGTTCCAACCACCGAATCATAGACTTGGTACCACCCGTGAGAAAAATTCTCCAGGAAATAATCTAGCGACATTTCAGCCCAACTGTCAATCAGGAAACTGCTTCATGTACAAGCAGGATTTTAGAAAGGAATACCAATCTACGCTGGATGATGATAAAAGCCAAAAGGAATGCCAAAAAGACCTTGGTGTGCGTTTCATTGACTAAATCAGAGGTCTCCAAACTTGGCAACTTTAAGACTTGTGGACTTCAACTCCCAGAATTCTCTGGCTGGAGAATTCTGGGAGTTGAAGTCCACAAGTTGCCAAGTTTGGGGACCCCTGGACTAGACAATTGATTGTGTAGATCAGTGTTTCTCAACCTTTGCCTGTTTTAAGACGGGTGGACTTCAACTCCCAGAATTGCCCAGCCAGCCATGACGATGGCGATGATTTAGCGTGGTTTTACTTGCAAAGTTGCTTTGGTAGGAAATGAGTTTACGGTCTGGTCCAAAGTTTTTAATTTCTGGGGGGAGTCAGTATATTGACAAGAAGCAAGTCAGAAATGTTATAAATAAATCCTAAGAGGAAACTAAATCAGTCTAGCAGAGGCAGGGAAATTGCCTTTTGAAATTTGCAGACCACAATCTTAGGATAAGGCATTTATGGCTGCCTCTCTCGCCCTAGAATTAAACTGTCAACTGCTCCAGTTAAATATTATTTGCTGGGTGCAATTTGGGCTTTGCACTTTGTGGCGGGCTGATTACTCAACGCCAGATGGGAAGGGAACAATGGACGTTTCTGAGAGAGGGGGGGCGGCTGGCATTGTGGGAAGAGGGTCCCCCTAATTACTGACTCGGAAGAGAGGGAACCGACAGGTTGCCTCCCGTTTGGGAGGGAAGTATGGAGGAGGAAAATGATCCTTCTGCATCAAGATTCTTGGAAGAAAAATCTCTGCTCTGCACAAGATTGCACAAACTACAAAGTGAGCCGAAATCCTCCCTCGAACCAGCATGAGTGAACTAGCATAGTTAAGTTGCATTAACAGAGGGATTCAATCAAGATCAAGTGAGGTATTACTATATAAAGCCTTAGTAAGGCCACCCCTAGAATACCACATCCAGTTTTGGTCACCACACCATAAAAAAGAGGTTGAGACTCTAGAAAGAGGGCAGAGAAGAGCAACCAGGATGATGAGGGGACTGGAGGCTCAAACATACGATGAACAGTTGCAGGAACTGGGCTTGGCTAGTCTAGTAAAGAGAAGGACCAAGGGAGACATGATAGCGGTCTTCCAATATTTGAGGGGCTGCCACAGAGAGGAGGAGGGGGTCAAGCTATTCTCCAAGGCACCTGTAGGCCAGGCAAGGAACAACGGATGGAAACTGGACAAGGAGAGATTCAACCTAGAAATAAGGAGAATTTTTCTGATGGTGAGAACAATCAACCCATGGAACAGACGTTGCCCTCGGAAGTTGTGGGAGCTTCATCCCTGGAGGCTTTCAAGAAGAGACTGGATTGCCACTTGTCAGAAATGGTGTAGGGTCTCCTGCTTGGGTGGTGGGTTGGACCAGAGACCTACAAGGTCCCTTCCAACTCTGCTACTCTGTTTTATTAAACTTCTTTGGTGCAAAAAAAGGTGTGTTTTTTGTGTTGTGCTCTCTCCTTTGCTTGACCTTTCCTAAATTAGAAAGCCTGCTTGGCACCCTTACGTGTCATGTAATGGATCTGTTAACTGGATCATTAATCGTTGGAAGCTCAGTTTTATCGTCCCCTCTTCAGCCTTATGCACAGAACTGTTCCACACAAGTCCTGCCCTCCTTTGACTTTGTTTTAAAAATAAGTTCTTTGAAATCATTTTTAAAATGTGCTTCCAGCTAAGAGCGGAACAGACTGCTTCAGCAGAAGTTGGACTCTCAACAGTTGAACAGTTGTCTCAACTGAGGAGGGAGGTCCATGATGGATTCCTGCTCAGGTCAGAGAACTGGAGAAGGCTAGAGCAGCATTTCTCAACTTTTTGTGGACTTCAACTCCCAGAATTCCCAACCAGCATGCTGATTGAAGAGTTCTGGTAGTTGAAGTCAATGCAACTCTTAGAAGTGGCCAAGAGTCACGAAACACTGGGTAAGATACCTTCCAAGATACCTTCCAAGATACCTTCCAACCAGTGGTGGGATTCAATTTATTTTACTACCGGTTCTGTGGACATGGCTGGGTGGGTGTGGCTTGGTGGGCATGGCATGGCTGGGTGGGTGTGGCTTGGTGGGCATGGCATGGGTGGGTGGGCATGGGTGGGTGGGCGTGGCAGGGGAAGCATCAGGATTCTGGCAGTTACTCCAATTAAATCATGAACCGAGTCTGCATCAGGGAGGGAGATGAATAGAAAACAGCGTTCAACTGCCCTCTAGGGAACTTCCTATTCAAGGTCATGCCTTTCGGACTACAGGGCCACCCAGCGGTGTTCATGCAGTTAATAAATGAAGTGCTGCACGAACATCTTTATAAGGGGGTTCTTGTCTACTTAGATGACATTCTCATCTACACTGAGGCGATGGACAACCACATACCCCTAGTCTGCCAGGTACTGGAAAAACTTCTAGCAACAAACCTGTATGTCAAGCTGTCGAAATGCAAACTTCACCATGCACAATTGGACTACCTAGGTACCAAGTCTCCAATGAGAACATAGAGATGGACCCAGCCAAAGTACAAGCCGTTCTGTGCTGGCAGCCTCCTTGTACCCTCAGACAGCTACAAAGCTTCTTGGGGTTCACAAACTTCTACCAACAATTCATCCCTTCCTTCATGAGGATTGCCAAACCATGATGGACCTCCTAAAGACAGGGAGTCCAGGAATGAAACCCGCCCAGGACAACCCCTACAGTGGGGCCTAACCTGCCAAAAAGCATTTGAAACACTGAAAGAACTGTTTGCAAAAGAACCAGTACTGAAGCATCCTGACCCCGAACAACCCTTCGTCATTCAAGCAGATGCCAGGGATGTGGCAGTGGGAGCAGTGATACTCCAAACAAACAACCAATATGTTTTATGAGTTGACAAGAAGGATACTGCAAAATCCCCCTTCCCTCCCCACTCCTCTAACCTGCTTTCCAGCTCTGTTCTCCTGTGCAGGGCAACCAAAGGAGACCCAGCCGATCAGCTGGGACTCGATGGGAGGCAGAGAAGAGACAGGGTTGGCGGGGCCAATCAGAGGTGGGATTGGCTGGTTCTCTGAACTACTCAACATTTCCGCTACCGGTTCTCCAGAATTGGTCAGAGCCTGCTGAATACCACCTCTGCTTCCAACCTTACATTTAACTGCTTTAGAATTAGAATAACAGAGTTGGAAGGGACCTTGGAGGTCTTCTAGTCCAACCTCCTGCTTTGGCAGGAAACCCTATAACCATTTCAGACAAACGGTGATCAAATCTCTTCTTTAAAACTTCCGGTGTTGGAGCATTCACAACTTCTGGAAGCAAATTGTTCCACTGATTAATCGTTTTAACTGTCAGGACATTTCTCCTTAGTTCTAAGTTGCTTCTCCCCTTTATAAATTTTAATTTATAAAAATTAAATGCCCAGCAGGCACCGCATGGGTATTTTTAGAAAATAAAAAGGATGGGTTGGCTCAGGAAGAACAAAAGGCATTGGAAATTCACTTTTTCAAGCTACTGTATAAAAGCAGGCGTCCGTTTTTTTTATCAAATGATCGTGGTTAGTTGCTCCTTTGCAGATTGGGGACCCCACTGGTGAGGTGACAGCATGCACAAGCATTGAACAGCTGCGATCCGCGTTGGGCTCGGAGCAGAGCGGTGTGGGGCCTGATGCCTCGGTTTCTGCTGGATATGAAATCCAAGGTAAGTTGTGTTCTTCCAGGATCTCTTCTTTTTGTCCTTCCAATGTGTTCTCTGCCTTCTCTTGGTCTGGCAAACAGCAAAACTGGCCAAGGAAACCAGTTGGGGAAAGCTTGTCAGTGGACTGGCGAAGGATGTTCAGAGCCATGTAAAAAGCAGATTATTTTGCCTTTGTTCATGAGATTATTCTGTCCTCCGGTAGACAGTTGGCCTCCTTCTAGGGGGCAAAGCAGATTTTTAAAAATGCAAATTGCATTTGGTGTTGTGGCCCGCCGGCGGCTGATGGAGCTGGCAGCAGAGTCAAACAGTAGTGTTGTGGTTCACCAGCAGCCTGTGCAGATGGCAGCGGAATCGGACAGTGGGGAAGAACGGGGATCAGTCAGGGAGTCTGAAGAGGACTCAGACGAGGGTCCTGTGTCCGGTGCAGGGATGGGGCCAGGACCATCTGGAAGTGGGGTGCTAACTTTGGAGCTTCCGGAATCTGGCAGCAGCAAGGCAGAGGAACAAGGGGAGCCTGTTCCCAGTGCGCATATGCACAGAGCTGCTAGAAGGCAAGAGCAGCTGAGACAAAAGGGGTGACTCAAGAATAAGGCTTGGAGGTGATTGTCCCTCCCCTAAGGCATAAAAGTCAGGCCAAGATGATGAAACCTTTGCAGGAAGCAAAGTCGTTTGTTCTGTTCAGATTAATCCTTGAAGCTCTGTGTGGACTTTGTACTTTGGTTGGTTTTTTTATAATACATTTAGCACTCTAGCTGTTGGCAGAAGTTCAAAGAAAAGAAAGGTGAGTGCTTATCTTGAGGGACTGTTTGGGACTCATTATCGGTTGGGAATGAACATAATTCCCAGCATTGAAATAAAACAAGATTTGTTTTAACTAAGCATGTGTTTAATTACACTCTTGGGAAGCCTTGGTCAGAACAAGTAGTGAGGAGGTTGGGGAAGAACCTGGGCCAGTCCTGGAGGCCGAGGAAGGCTCAGATGAGGGCTCTGCATCAGAGGCAGAGATGGGGCCAGGGCAGGCTGGCAGTCATCAGCTGCCTTCAGGCTCGGACAGCAGTGAAGCGGGGCAGTTTCTGGAACCGGTTCCCAGCCTGTGCATGAGCAGGGCTACCAGAAGACAAGAACAATTGAGAAAGCAGGTTCGACTCAGGAGTAAGGCCATACCATACATTTGGGGCTCAGTTGTGCTCTACTTGGATAAACTTAAGATTCTGCAATGGCTGGAACCCCAAATGGATGAAGGAGGTTGATCCATCCTTTTAACAAGCCAGCCTCTTTTCTCCTGAATCTCTGGAGCACTAAATCCTGATCTCTTTCTCTCTCTCTGTAATTACAGGAGAAAGTTGTCAGGAACAAGAACTGCAGCTTCAGTAAGTGTTGCTGTTGTTCTTTGCAAGGTTTAATGGGGCCATAATAGCCTCGCACATCAGCACATCATCATTCTCAAGGTCATATTTACCTCATTGTGGAGGACCAAATGAATTGAAAAGGGGAAAAAAAACTGTGTGTATGGAATAAAACAGGCACATGGCTGTTTGGCCAGTCGAGATAACAACATCCACCCCCCAAAAAACCCTTTGATTTTTTTTTTAAGTGGAGAAGAGACTTTTTAACAGGTTAACAGAATGACAGAGTTAGAAGGGGCCTTGTAGGTCATCTAGCCCAACCACCCCCACCCCCGCTACCCCAGCAGGAGACCCTACACTGTTTCTGACAGATGGCAGCCAGTCTCTTCTTGAAAGCCTCCAGGGATGAAGCTCCCACACCTTTTTTTATTTAAATTGTTTTTATTTATTTTTTATTTATTTTGTCGAGCAATTATAACATAACAGGTAGAAGTATAAACATAGTTATGGATACATGAAATGGATACATGTACGAATAATAAAAGAGAAACAATAGGACAGGGACGGTAGGCACGATTGGTGCATTTATGCATGCCCCCTACAGACCTCTTAGGAAAGGAGTGAGGTCAATAGTAGACAGTCTAAGGTTAAAGTTTTTGGGGTTTGGGGAAGAAACCACAGAGTCAGGTAGAGTATTCCAGACATTGACCACCCTGTTGCTGAAGTCGTATTTCCTGCAATCAAGTTTGGTGCAGTTTACGTTAAGTAAATTGTATGCTCTTGTATTGTTATGGTCCTTCCGAAGGCAACTTCTGTTCCATAGATTGATTGTTCTCCCTGTCAGAAAATTCCTCCTTATTTCCAGGTTGAATCTTTCCTTAATCTGTTTCCATCCATTATTCCTTCTCTGGCCTTTGGGTGCTTTGGAAAATAGCTTGACCTCTTCCTCCTCTCTGTGGTAGCCCTCAAATATTGGAAGGCTGCTCTCCTGTCTCCCCTGGTCCTTTTCTTCCCTAGACTAGCCAGGCCCGGTTCCTGCAACCGTTCATCGTCTGTTTTAGCCTCCAGTCCCCTAATCATCCTGGTTGCTCTTCTCTGTACTTTTTCTAGAGTCTCCACATCTTTTTTTTTTCCTTCTGGAAGATTGATTTGTACATGTGGTGATTGTATAAATTCCAACATGTTGAGGCAGAAAAGGACAAGATCCGTGTGTTTGTCTTGTCTGATTGCTCTTTATATTTTTAAAGAACAGGGACAGGATAACACCTGGGGGAACCCCATCCTTTCTTTGCAGGTATCCAGTTGTTTGAGAGTGTGGCTGTGTTCCTTTGGTTGATACTGTTGTGCGCTCATGTTGACTGTATGTTGGGTGCTTGCAATTACCTCACTTTTTCAGCTGTTTACAGTATCCTAGTTGTGTGACCCTGTTTGAGGGTTTTGCTGAAAACTGGCATTTGCTTCCAGCTGTTGGCAAAACTGGCCCATAAAAAAACATTGGTTCACTTAACAACAGTGAAGTTTGCTTTAAGCAAGCGTCACACAAAAAGGTTGTGAAATTGGGTCAGTCATGTGGGTTATGACCATCACAACTTTCAACCCCAATGGACAGTCTGGTCATAAGTCACCTGTACGTACAATTCTAATCAAGCTTCTCTCTCAAAGATTTCATTCTAATTCTCTTTTTTTAAATAGATTTTTAAATTGAAAGCTTTATACAGAGCATAAAAAGTAATATAAACTAATAAGAAAAGACAGACAGGAAAGGAAAAAGAAAGGGAAAAGTGCAGGAAGGAAGAATAAAAAGCAATAGCAATAGCACTTAGATTTATATACCGCTTTATAGTGCTTTGCAGCCCCTCTCTAAGTGGTTTACAGAGTCAGCATATTTCCCCAACAATTTGGATCCTCATTTTACTCACATTGGAAGGACGGAAGGCTGAGTCAACCTTGAGCCTGGTGAGATTTGAACTGCTGGCAGTGGGCAGAATTAACCTGCAATGCTGTATTCTGACCATTGAGCCATCACGATAGATAGATAGATAGATAGATAGATAGATAGATAGATAGATAGATAGATAGATAGATAGATATAGATTAGGTATAGGTATAGGTATAGGTATAGATAGCAGTAGCATTTAGACTTATATACTGCTTCACAATGCTTTACAGCCCTCTCAAAGCGGTTCATTGATTGCCCCCAACAATCTGGGTCCTCATTTTACCGACCTCGGAAGGACGGAAGGCTGAGTCAACCTTGAGCCTGATGAGATTCGACCTGCCAAATTACAGGCAGCTGGCAGTCAGCAGAAGGAGCCTGCAGTACTTCACTCTCACCACTGCGCCACCGAAGCTCTTAATAGAAAGAAGAATGTTCCGTTTTCCTTTTCAGCAAATACAAAGTTATTTCCTTACTCCATGGTTCCAAAAGAAAGGGCTCTTTTCTATTATCCAAGTTTTTTTTTCCCCTCTAACCATCAAAACCCCAAATCACAATTCCCTTCTTTTTATAACCAATTCTTTCTAACCATCGAACTCCTAAACCACAAAATCATTTTTCTTTTTGACCCCAAAAAGTCCAAAGTTGGGGAGGGGTTTTCACCCAAGTCCTGGACAAGTTGCCCCTCCCCTGGTAGGACTCTGAAATCGAGCCGCTTTATCTGTGTTGCCACCCAAGGCCTCCGTCTGCAGAGGGCTGGCTCTGAACTGACTCAACAGCCAACCTTTATCTGGCTTGTTTGCATACTCCAAGGTGACCAAGGCCAGCAAACCGTGTGCCATGGAGAGCTCCGGAGCATGAATGCCTTTCCTTCTACGGTTCCTTTTCTTTTTTTCTTTTGACTAAAACAATATCAACCGTCAACACTTCTCTCGCGATTCAGCCCTTGATGGCGGGGGAAATTTAGCGTAAGTAGTCTTCTGCCCTTCCCTTTCTCTCGACAAGTTTTGAACCTTGCTAAAAATGGGCGCATCCCGCACCTTCGTTTGTAAAACGCTGTCGAGTCAAAAGCTGGCAAAAATTTTGCAGCACCCAAACGGGGGTGGGTGGATGATGTTGGTGATGATGCCTAGATACCTTGTGGTTCCTCCACAAGAGTCTTTTGTTCCTTAAAACGCATGTTTGCTCTGTACTCTAAACTGCCATTGTAATTGCAGTCAGGTTGGCGCTGCTGTTTGGCTGTTCAAGCCACCCAATAGGTTTGTAACAGCAAATCCTATGCAGGTTGAAAGGCCCTCTGGAGGCCGTTCAGACCATGCCATCTGTCAGAAATGGTGTAGGCGAACCTATGCCACACGTGCCAGAAGTGGCACACACAGCCATTTCCCCCGGGGCACGAGAGCTTGCCCGGAAGAGCCGCACTGTGCATGAGTGCGCACTGCCGTGCCTGACAGCTGATTGCCGGGTATCTGGTGCGCATGCATAGTGTGTGTGTGTGCGCGGGAGACACACGTGCATGCGCAGATGGATGGCGCAAGGGGTGATCCCGCACGCAGGTGCGGGGCAAGGGGATCATGTGTGCATGTGCTGGCACGTGGCGCATGGAGGGGTGATCGCAGGCGCAGATGCATGGTAAGTGGCAGGGGAATTGCAGGTGCGAAGCCCGCAAGGGGATTGCGCGCACATGGAGAGGGGTGGGTGGGTGAGGCCAGCACGCATTG